CGATCCCTGGGTTGGGAAGATCCCCTGGAGGAGGGCATAGCAACCCACTCCAGTACTCTTGCCTGGAGAATCCCATGGACAGAGGAGCCTGGAGGGCTACAGTCCATGGGGTTGCAAACAGTTGGACATGACTGAGCCCAGCACAGCAACAGTGGGGTGGGGGCAATTAGTGAACAATTCCTACTTGAAGAATATTGTGAATTTAGCAAAATGGCTCCTTCTCATAAAATTGCTTATGTCTTTCAAGTTTCCTTTCTCTAATGACTCTTGGATGAATGAATTAATATCTGTTTGGTCATCTGTGAAAAATCTGACCTGTTTCTTATAGGATTACTATGTTAGGGGGAAGAAAGTTGAGTGGCCCATGACTAAGATATGTATTACAAACTATTTAAGTAGGGATATTTAATAACCCACTGAAGGAGGCCAGAAGTTAAAATGTCCAAGAGTTGAGTTTTTCATACAGACAACACAATTTCAAAGTGGAAAGTGCATCTTCCATAGTATAGAAACATACTTTTCCTCCATGGGGTCTAATCTGGATAAACTTGAATGTAGGTTTGGCTGGTGGATTGAATGCGAGTGGGGTGGCCATAAGACTAGAAGTTTCAACAAGGTCAAAGATAATGTGTAGTCAGGGGACTGGGAAACTGGAAGGTTAGGAGAGTTAGAGAAACCCACCAGCATCACCTATTTCAAGGGGGTAAATGAGATATCACGGACATGGAGCAGAGCATCAGGCCAGGTCTCCAGCTAGGCAGCCTGGATTTCAATCCCTACTCTTCCTCTTCCTGGCTGAGTGATTCTCAAAAGTCACATATGTTATCTGAATCGGAATTTCTTCATCCATGAGTTGTGCAGATGAAATGAGATATTAGATGAAATGTATTTTTCATATAGTAAAGATTCAGGTATTAGTTATTATTATTATTTTTATTACCTCAGTTCCTCCTCTTTAATTATTTTCAACCCTTATTTGCTCCATTCTTCTCTATTTTATTTCTTTTCTGTAGAACTTATTACCATCTCCATGCTACATATTTTACTTATCTTCTTGTTTTTGATTTTCCACATTAAAACATAAGCTCTGCAGTGACTTGGAATTTTTTCTGTTTTGTTCCCTGTAGGGGAGTGCCTAGAACAGTGCTGGCACAAGATAGTACTGAGCTAATTGAATGAAAGAATCATGCCTAGTATAGTTCTTGTAATACAACAAGGGGGACAAACTGTTAGTTTTGAAATAGCTGAAATGATACTTTCCGGTAGGGGCCATTTCTTAGATGTGGCCAGACGTGTGGGTTACTGAGTGGAGGGAAAGTTTATTGGAACTGAAGTTGAAGAAGCCCTTGAGAGAGAATGTTGATGGATCATCCAACATCGAATCTATGTGACAAAAAGAAGCTAGGGAGTGAGGTAGAGAAGAGGGTGAAAAGGGAGCTGCCAGCGTCCCTAAGCCTATAGCCGAATGCAGGGGAAATGCTCTGTAGGGCAGTGTGAACAGTGCTAAGTAAAAGGTGGAATGAGCAGATGGCTACTTTTCATAATGGGGAGAGGAGGTTGGAAGTTTTAATGGAGAGTTGGAAGAACTCATACAGCCCACAGCAGACTGATGAACTTTCTGTGGAGAGTGTTACAGGGGTGTTATAGCCCCTGATGGGGATGCAGTGAAGGCAACAGGTGGGAGTGTTTGGCAAAGAGTCTGGGAGTATAGACAAGGGTGTTGTTAAGTGACATTCCCGAGGGTGTGTTGGGAGTGAGACCAGTGAATAGGAGTAAGGAGTGGACTAGAGAGGATAGTGCAAGTGGCTGTATGCACAGAGGAGAGAGGCGATCTTCAGAACAAGGATACAAGAATCTATGGTTGTAGGTTGTTTTTTTTTTTCATGACCAGATACAAGATGATTTTCTAGTTAAATAAGCTAAACAAAGAGAGGGAGGGACAGCACATTTATGGAAACATTTTGATGTTTGAATGCTCTAGGGAATTATGCAACTAGTTAATAGTTGCATCTTCTACTTTTTATGGAATATCTTTCCCTTCCTTTCATCTCAGAAGAAAACTTGATAGCTTCAGTAGGATATACTCCTGGATGAATAAATTTTAACAGGTACTACCTTATGTAACCTTTACCTTTTTTTTTTAAGCTCAACTTAAATAGGTTAAAATTTTAGTGACAATTTTTTTTTGAGTGAAATTGTTTAACACTAAACTATTAAGACAAGCTTTGGAGCTCTTGTGAGTTAGGACCATTGTCTAACACTTTTCTATCTCTCTTGTTAAGTTAAATTTAGAAGTGTGAAGCATCTCATGCTATTTCCAAATAAGTTCATAAAGTTCATTAGTTAGTTGGTTGATTGGTAAGTGGCTCACTCACTCACTGGGTAACCACAGTGCCCAGAGGCCTGTAAGAAGAAGCGATGGATATGACAGGCTAAGGTTTTGAACATGATAAAACACTACTTAAATGCCAACAAATAATAACTTAAAAGTTATTTAGAACAAATGAATTTTTGACCTGGGACTCTTTGGTCCTCTTATACATTCCCCAAATAAAGAATTGAAGATAATGATAATCAACATTAATAATAACAAATATGGGTAAAGTCAGAGTGCCCTAGAAGAATATACTAGCAGTGCTATTCAGTAAAATATGTTGAATGACCGTGTCTTTTTGTAGTTTAAAATTTGAGTAGGGGCACTATTCTCAAGGCAATTTAACAAGTCATTGTTTCTATGCCATTTTATCATCACCACAGAAAATTTAAAAAAATCATTCCAGGTTGCATTAACTAAAACCACCTGAGGCTAATTTATGTAAACAATGAAAACAAGCCTTTTCCCATTCTTAAAAGATAGCCACCCTTGTGTTATTTTTAGTTTCAGGGGGTAAGATGTCCTCCTAAGTCTTTCCTTAAAGTTCATTGAAACGTATTTTAATTTGCATGAGCATTTCTTGATAGATGAGTAGGACATATTCATGACATGACCTCTCCTATAGCCCCTTGGAAAACCTTGTTTATACTTCCAAACCTTGAGCAAAGTCCAAGATAAAGCTAACACAGAGTTACAGATTTCAATTAATTTCTGTTCAACCTCTTTCTTTGTGTGACTTCTCTTGTCTCAAATTGAGATGTTTAAGGAATTTGGATTTTACTAATTAGAATGGCAATGTTACCTACCAACTTTAGATACCCCAATATCTACTAACAAATGTTTTCTTTCCCTAAAATGAAAAAAAAAGTCATTCCCATTGTTATTCCACATGCTTATTAATACTTATGTTTGATTGATGATATATTTTAAAAACAAACAAGCCAATAATCAAAAGCTGTCTTTAGACTGGAATCTTACAAAAAGTCTATCTCTTGAATTTCTTTGGTTTAAAGAAATCCTAATCAAAATAAAAGCAAACCAGCCAATAGATAGTCTAAAGCTAAAACAAACTGTACCAACAAAAAACTATGAAAGTTTGTTTGGAGCCCCAGACATTACTTGAAGGTTGCCAGTAGCATATGGCTTAATTTCCTGTTTAAAACAGGGTAAACTACAACCTTTAATGTAGTCAAGCTGAACCAGAGAAAGAGCCTTTATATGTGCAGGTATTGGCTGTATGTCAAGATCATCAACCTATTTAGTCATAGTGTCTCCTGTGAGATGTGCTGATCAGTAAAAAGACACTTGGGCACTTTTACTCATCTAATTTGAAGAGAAAGTTTAGAAGGTCATAAGTTTGTGGATCTTGCATCTTGGTTATTACAAAATTAATGACCTGAGGCAATGACGACTTCCAACATCATGTGGAAAATATTCATCCTTCTCTAAGATCGTCTATCCACCTGTTCTCTGCCTGAGCCAGGAGAGACATCAGTACTGGGGAGGCTTTGAATCAGACAATGTTTCCTGCTACTAGCCAAGCCACTCCAAGATAAAGGGACCATCTTGCAAAGAAAAGTCACTGTTACGAGAAAAACGTCACACCACACAAACTACTTGAGAATTTGCGCCAGTCATTCTAATATTTTAAATTGTGCTAAAACACACACTTAACTTAGAGAAGTTCTTTTTGTTATCATGAAATACAAAGATCATATTTAGAATCAATTCTTGAGTGGAAATTTTGTTTGCCAACTTTTTATCCCAAGATAAACTTAGCTATTTAAAATTGTAGAAAGTAGAGGCGTAAGTGATAAATATGTATAAGATAGTCCATTTGTTAAGTTTACTTACTTAATTTTTCCTATACCATTAGTTTAAATGGGTCATTTTATCAAATGCTTGGCCTGTTAAAATGATTTAGAATTTAAATATAAGACAGAAGAATGCTAATCCTTAATGCAGAAATAACAAATTATCCAACATTGAGGTTAGATAACTGACATTACACTTATGTATATTTTCTTTCATCTTCTAAAATGGCAAGTCCAGTGGTAGTTGTCCATTTTACTAGTCATTCCAGTTACAATTTCCATATCAGAAGCTGTAAATAGAACTTATGAAAATACTTTTTCTTTTCTTCATTTTTCTGATCTCCCATGCAGCATTCCTTGTCATAAGAATATATTTACATTTTACAATAATGGATGTTGTATCTGAAATATTAATTATCCAAAACAAAATTAAATGTGAATTCCAACTAAAAATGTCCTTATATTTGTTGCATTGCACTTGCAAAAGAGTTAGGAAAGAGCCCTGGTTGACAGAGTTAAGTTCCTTGCCCAAAAAAGGTGTTCTTTTTTTTCAATTTTTTTCAGTTAATTAAGTAACCAATATTAACTGCAAATTAGCTTTAATTTTTTAATACGAAAAATTGGAGATCTCATACAAACCAAATTCATGGAGTGTTTTCTTTAGTGTTTAATGTTTTCTAAGTAGCCATAGCATTTTTATACAGAAAGTGAGACCAGGTCTTTTGAAGAAAACTGGGATTTTTAAAAAATGCAAATGGGGAAAAGCATGAGGGGAGGAAAAATTAGAATCTGGTATGCTATGTACTACTTACCTTCAAAAGTCAAATAAAACTTTCCTCTGTCAAACCAAACGAGGGAAGGCTGTTCATTCTCTGTATGGCCAGGAGTTGAAGCGGGATGGGAAAGGTTAAGGAGAGGGAGAGAGAAGGACACAGTATGAGTTACCGAGCAGGTCATTAATCTCACTAAGGGGAGGGCGGAGGCACTGCATGCCATTAACGTGCAGGGAGAAGGGAAGGCTGGCGATCTTTTTTTTTTTTTTTTTTTTTTAGTTTGGGAAATAGAAAGCAAAAGCAAAGCTATGTAGGCCTAAAGGGATGGGCACATGTTGCTGGCAGCTTGGTACTTGGTGCCGCTGGGCATGGAGCAGAAGTCTTCCTGGCCATGCAGGGGCGTCAGCATATTTTAACTGCACTAGTTTGGGCAAACTGTCACTCAGCAATTGCTGTGTTTATTTCATCTTCAATGTCATCCCCTTCTATATTTTAAAAAAGAAGCTTGGAGTTACGGGTTATATAAAACTTAGCTGAGGTTTTCAATGACAATAGTATTGCATATCAGTTTAAAGTTCATGGAAGATGCCATATATCTTCCATTCCCTTCCCTGGAATCACCTTAGGCAACCAGACACAAAACACCCTTTACCTATGTACTATAGGAAAAACAAGATTACTAATGGTGTTCTACTATGTTTTAAATAAAAAAGCCATCACTGGATATGTAATTCTGAGCAGTTAAATTATCCCTCCCTTTGTTAGTTCACAAAGCAATAGCATCTCCCCTTTTTTGAATCTTTTCACTGAGAAACTGTCATGCAACCTACTGCTTTATAATATGTTCACTTGAAAAAAAACATTTCAGTGGCATGAGTTCCACGATGAACAGTAAATAGACGGTGAATCTGAGAGGCACTGGACACTCATGAGGTGAGTAGCATGTCCATGAAGTTTAGCATTCAGATGGCATAATGGCTTGGATTTTTAAAGTCTAGATATCTAAAGATCACTCAGCTAGCACCATACCTGCAGGCGTTTCACAGCGCCTTTCAAACGAGGGCAGTTTGTCATAAAAAACATCATCTTCTGACACTTTGAACCAAAGAAATATAAAGGAATGAAAATAAAAATACAAATCTCAAATGAAATCAAGCAATGCACTATACTGATCAAAACAGGAATGATTTTAATGAAAAAAGGAAACAAAATCTAAGACACTGGGATTATGGACAGAGTATAAAAAAGTGATGTGCTTATTTCATGATGAGTCTAAGAGCAGAAATGGAAATTTTTAAGATGCCAGATTTTAGCATCTGTGAATTTGCTGAAGTCAACTCCATGGAAGAAATCACACCCCCATCTTTTCAGGGAGTTGTTAAAGGCACTGTCATTAATAATTGACTTGTGCAAGTGTATTTCACTCAGACACAATTCTCAAGTGACTGGACGTATATCCATCAACAGAACCTCCTGACAGAGTGCTGACAGCTCAATGGGATCACCCAGCATGCACCTGCCTCCCCCTGGGGAAAGAGGAAGCTTTTAATGAGATCATAAAAAAAGCAACAATATGAATCTGAGGTCCCTGAATGAAGTCTCTCATTTCAACTTCATCAATATCCAACTTCAATTTACCTTTGCACCTGTCCTTGGTACTTAGGGATTTTTAGTTTTGAACAACATTATTGTAATTCCATCTTTGTCTATGGTATTGATCATGGACAAATGTCTTTGTATTAAATTAGTTACAATAGTTGCTATGAACTCCAAGCATTCTGGATGTATGTACATGGTCTCCCTCCTCACCAACAAACACATGCAGATAACTGAAGTTTTACTCTATGCGATTTAGATCAATCAGTGCCACAGATCTGAAGGATATTATTATAACTTTAACAGAAAATTGAATAAATTCTGTACGAAGACAAGTAAGGGAGAATCTTTCCTACAATGTAGAGAAGTATAAGATGAGGAAATGGATGAGGGTAGTAAAATTACTCCATAAACTATGCTTCTTAGAAAATATTCTACTAGCTTGGCTCTTAGACTTAGTGAATAAGGCAGGAAAACTACTTCTCTGTCAATTTTTAAGGCTCTAAAATAGCACCTGTCAATCAATTTTTTAAAAATACTAAGATGATGCTCTCTCTCCATTTTATTTATTTCTTTATTTTTGACCACGCCGAATGGCATGCAGTGTCTTAGTTCCCCGAACAGAGATCGAACCTGTGCCCCCTGAAGGGTAAACATAGATTCTTAACCACCGGACTGCCAGGGAAGTCCCTGTCAATCAATTTTTAGTATACATGTGACTCCCTTGCTGGCTAGAATAAGTGAATGCACTTCTATAATATCTACAGAAGAGGAACAGGAACTGGCAGTAAGAAGGACACCCCATAATACTCCCAGAAAACAGGATGCAAAATGATTACACTGGCAGTAACTGACTATACAGTGCTTTTCCTACCTACTAGTGAGGAATGGTGGAGAATATTCCTTTCTTTTGAAAAACTGATATTTTATTTACAATCTCCTTAAAATGAGGAGACTCCAAGACTGCCATCTTTTTCTTTGAGCTGAAGTTACAAAAGAATAGTTTATAAAGGTTGAACAGCATGCTTATCATTTTTTTATTACGGTTATGGACATTAAGGACTTAGGAAAAAAAAATCCATATCAGATAATTTAAAAAATGGGTGGTTGGATAGCTCTGTGCTTGATTTAAATAAGAGCAACAATCAGATTAAGTAAATAAGAAAAGTTTTGTTAAGAGCTAACCAGGGGAACTGTCTCCAATTGATCTGAGATGGGGAAGCCAGTACTGGGGACAGGTTTTTTCAAAGAAAAGGGGAAAAAATACTAAAATTAAATGTGGCAATTTAAAATTGGGATCAGGAATACCTGTCTCTAAGGGTCTTTCCTTCTGTGCAGAATAACTGATGTTAACACAGATATATTTTTTAAAAAGCTTATTTAAGTCAGAATTTCCACCCAGCCTGGAGAGACAAAAGCTTAGAGGAAATATTTTAAGTTTTATACTCTATGGTTAATATTTCTGTATTGAATACAAATCACTTTTGCTCCAAGTTCTATACCAAAGGAAGCATCAAAGTCCATCTGATGCCCATAAAAGATTACTTTTCATTCATTACTGATTCCTGGGATGTTAAAGATGTAATTAAAAATGCATAATGAACAGTGAAGAAACATAATAATGAATTTCACAATGAAGACAAATTGTCTTTATCATTGTATTTTGCATTGGGGTAGGTTGCAAAGGAAGGTTTTGCAAACGTCTAAAAAATGACTATCACATATAGAAATAAGAAGCAAATAATAAATTGGATATTTACAATTAGAGATAATTCCTTATTTATCTCTATCTCTAAATGTCTGAGTCTGGTTTTTTTTTTTTTTTTTTTTGAGTCTGGTTCTTATAATAGAATAACTTTAAATATTTTCTTTATTCACATAATTTTAACCAGACTTTCCCTCCCTACCGTGTCAAATAGTGAAGATCCTGTGAGCCTTTTTTTCAGTACAAAAGGGGTTTATTGTATTTCATTCATGCTAATATGTGCACTTTTAACTTCTCTGAAATTAGGATGGATCTTAAAATCAGTATGATAAGAAAGTGTTGCACCTTAATTCATTTGGCAGCTTCCCCTTCCTTTCTCAGTCATATATAAAATAATAGCGCAGCTTCTAACTGAAGGTATCCTAAATTCAGTGAAGCAGAATTACAAAGGAACACTTCATTATTTGAATGTGACTTATTCACATTCAAAATAGAAAGTGAATAGAAAATAGAAAGTCCTATTTTCAGGTGTGGCATCAGTTATTTATAATCATAGGTCTCATGAAAAAGATTTTATGTCCAATGTCTTGCTAGGGGCATATTCTTAGATGAATTGCAGGAAGATCAGATTTGCCTTTAAAAATTTAGTCCTCGAATTATATTAAACTTTGTACCAAGCAAGTACAAATAAATAAGTATAAATAAAAGTATCATGGTGGAGGGAGGGAAATGTTGAGCCACTGAAATCAAGAATTTGCGGCTGAAATTTCCATCTCCCCCAAGCCCTCTGACTTCCTTAAGTTGACGTACCAAGTCAAGTCATGAACAGTCAGCCCCTTGGTGCCGAACAGCCAAAGTACAACCTCTTCAAAGAGAGAGAAACAACATTATACACGGTGCTGCTGGGTGGTCACTGACAACACATTTACTTCAGAGAGAAGTGTCTATCAGGTGACCCACAGCCACAGGAGATAAAGAACAAGACAGCGAGGAAGACGAAAACCAAATATAAATAACAGAGCTGAAGAGATTAAATCAGAATGCTTCTCAGCAATGAAGCAATGTGACTAGCCTCTTAGGTGGTCTTTTTTTTTTTTTCTTTCTTTCTGTTTTTAGCCCCTGTATGCTTCATCTTGAAAGAATGTATACTAGTTGTGTTGAGGATCACAGTCACTGGCCAGGTTTTAAGGTTTCTGCAGCAGAGAGCATAAAAACACATGGTACAAAACATGGCCACAGGTCAAATGCTCTGTCTGTGCCATTTTCTCTCAGAGAGTTGAAGGAATAGGTTAGACAGTCAACTGAGGTCACTTAAGGTCTGCTTTCTGAATGACAGTTTATTATCATTACTTTTCTCTATGAACAACCATGACCTTGAGGAACAATGACATTGAGGCAAAAACAACAGAAAAACAGAGCAGGAGTGAGGGAAACGGCTGTAGTGATCAAGAGCATTAAAGAGAGCTCAAAAGTAAGGTTGGAAGTTACAGAAAAAACAAAACAGCAACAGCAACAAAACGCAGAAAGAAAGTAGCTAATAGGCATCTAAAAATAGGAAGCCCTGAGTTACCCCCAACTGATGATGCAGATAAAGAATAGACCTGGCTATACAAATCATGTTAAATATGTCTGTTAATGAATCATACAAAATTGGATAGCGGGCTGTATTTTCACCAAATTTGAAGAATTCTTTGGGGATGGTCTAATTAAAAATATGAAGCAGGTGATAAGGTTGAAATTCTCTTTGGGGGCCTAAGAGGCACATCTTAACTTATTTCCCTGGGAAAAGAGCGATTTCTTCTCCAGAAGAGCTTCAGGCTTTGATCAAAGTATTTCTCACATGGACAACTCTGTAGCATGCTCTTCTTCGGCAAGTAGCAGCAGGAATTTATTCAGCGTTAGTTAATGATTTCCCAAGCAATGCAGCATGGACCAGCTGGTTTATAATATGGGAGACTTAATGTGGGAGACTTGGAGGGCATTCAGACAATAAAGGAAGACAAGGGGCAAAAATGGGATGGAAAAGTCCAGGTCAGAGACACCATGCAAATATGAGAGAGGCAGCAGGAGCTGAGGAAGGTGGGTAAAAAAGTGGGTAGAGACAGACCAGCCTTGGGAAGAGGGAAGATGCTCCAGGCAAAATGAGGCATTTAAACCTGGGAAAACCATCCAGCTGAGCAGTCATTCTCAACTCTTCACTTTCATCACACCATAAGGAAAGAGGCACAAAGGCATTTACTGAAAATGCCAGCAATGACTTATTTCTTGGGGAAAATTGACCACACATCACTGAAAAGCACTAGAAAAAATGTCAAAGCATTTTCTCAAGTCCCACAATGCCCATGTTTATACCATCTGTCAACATAAGGAGAACCAAGGTGATGAAGAAATGAAAGCTTCAAGAAAAGAAAAGTTCTAAATTTTGTTATTTCTGATGGGTTACGTGGTTGGAATTTAAATAGACATTCCCCTCTCAAAGATATCTAAGTAATATCTAAATTACAAGATCTTATTTGATGATTTCTTCTTTACTTTTATGAATACATCTGTATGGAGACAGAATAAGAGAACTCCACATTCTTTTACTTGCTTATTTGCTTAGTTAAAGCATTTGCCTTTTTTGCTGAGAAGGTGCTTTTAAAAGAAGAGTCAGATGATAGTAGCAAAACACACAGCAAAACAATTTTGACCAGAAACATAGGGTGTTAGGGTTTTCAGATCATAAAAAAATAGCCAGTCAAAACCACAAATGGATTAAAAGAGAGGAGATAATTTTTACCAACTGTGGGAGTGGTGGCCGCACTCAAGGAATTGGTAGATGATATTGAAGAAGTGCTTTCAGCCCGGGCTAGGGGTGCTATCGGAGGAGGGCTGGAAGAATGGATGGGAGGGCTGAAAGGTCGGGGCTGCAGGGAGAAGAAAAGAAATGGAAAGTTAGATTCACAGGTTTTCCTTTCATATTTTTAACATCTCCCAGCTCCAGATATGACAACTCAGGCTCTTAAAAGAGGCCAGGTGGCACCATTTTTTCATTGAAACTGGTTATATCTACACAAGAGCTTGTGGATGGAGCCAGAGGAAACAAACTGTAATGGGCTACACTCAACAGATATATCACATTAAGAGAAGCCAGGATCTGGGATGTGGTCAGTGATGTTTCAGGATGGTGGACTCACATGTCCTTAGGGACTAAGAAAGTAACATAAAGTGAGAGCTTATACCTACTGAAATATACCTGAATACAAAATACTGTAGTGTGCTGGCTAAACCAGATGTCAGGGACAGCATTAGTACCCTGTGACTCCTGTGTGTGAATTCCAAAGAAATTTACCTCTGCCAGAGTCTCTTAATTGTTCACACAGAATGTTTTCCACCCCTCACCTTAAAGCATGATGCAAAACTTTCAAAAAACTTCCAAAAGAAAAAAAAATGCATTGAGCCACCACTCTCCTTTATATTCACCCAGTGTGTACACCACCAATAACTTCTCTGTGGTCTGGGGTCAGAAACCAGGATTTATCCTCTCTAGGAGTCTTCCAAAATCAGAAAAATATGGTGAAAGGAAACACCTCCCATTCTAAAGGATTTAGGACAATTGAGTATTATTATCTTAATTTTCATCAAACCCACTGGGGAAGAACTGAAGACCCCATGATCCTGTTCCTACTATTTTAGGCCGTGGCTTGAATGATGGTGGAGATTTGAGGGCAACTGAAATATACACTCTGATTGCAGTGACTTTCAGATTTCATCCATCAGGGCCATTGGTGCAGGCGCTGTAAGGCTTAGATCTGGAGTTGAGATGAGCCATGTTCAGGCATTTGGACTCCGCTTGTCATTCCCACTGTATGCTTCTGAGAGGGACAGGGCAGAAGGGAACATACCACATCTCCGACTCCAGGCTTCCCTGGAGGTAGCTTTGGCCGAGACGGAGGCCGGGGAGGAGGTGGAGGTGGGGTTGTGCTGCTGCAAGGAACCAAGGGGGTGGCTGGCCGAGCAGGGGATGACGCACCTGAAAAACAAGCTGCTATTAAAAAAGGCTGGAGACATAGGTGGCCAAAGTGCTGTTATCATTTGATCCCACCTTTTCATTCCCACAGTACAGTGCTAATCACCAACACTTTCTTCACCTCAGCAGTTAATACAGTCAACACTGTAGCACATGGGGTTTGGGTTTCTTTTTTTTCAATAAAGAAAAAAAATCACTCAGTTGAACTATGGTTGATGGCTGAAGCTGAAGCTCATTGCCTTTTGTTGTCATGTGACACCCAGTGAAAGGTAAATCCTTTTATAACTCCCTGTGACAGAAAATATATACTTAATACTCTTTTGGCTGGGTGAGTGGGTAGCTTTCATTCTGATCATGATACACATGAAACTTATGATAAATTTTCTTGATCTTTGCATATTCAGAATTTATGTTCAAGATGAAAATGGAGGTTAGAACTTGAAGAAAAAAGATTTTTCACATTATATGTATATATGTGTGCATGTGTGCTAAGTCGCTTCAGTTGTGTTCGAATTTTTGTGACCCTATGGACTACAGCCCACCAGGCTCCTCTGTCCATGGGATTCTCCAGGCAAGAATACTTGAGTGGGTTGCCATGCCCTCTTCCAGGGGATCTTTCTGACCCAGGGATTGAACCCACGTCTCTTTTGTCTCCTGCACTGGCAGGCGGGTTCTTTACCACTAAGTGCCACCTGGAAAGTCCATAGGTGTGTGTGTATATATATGTGTGTTATGTATAGAAATACTTTTATATATCTATAAAACATGTAGAAGAGAATTATCCTTCTTACTGTGCTTTAAGATATGAGTAGTAACTTCATAAATGTAAGCAAACCCTTGATGGTAAGCAAAGAACAAAATATAAGAAAGTACATTAGCTATTGTGAGCATACTTTGTGTTTGGAATCTTAACAGAAACACAGTGGATTTAGAGGATTTTAGTTTTTAGAGGGGCTGCCTGAGAACCTGTCTGTGTGGAGGTTGCCTGCGATGATTTCTGTGATGATTTTTAAAAGAGTCTCTTGGATTTACTTTTCTGGCTGTCAGCAACAAGCACGTGAAACACAGAGGACACACAGGGGTCGGCATGCATGCAGAGGGGTCTCTAGACTCAGGGGTTTGCCAGGCTTCAGGCATGTGTCCGGGACATAGGGGCAAACTACTTGGCTAACAATCTTAAGTCAATATTCCACATGGTTCTTATCAGTTAATCACCAACACTTCTCAGTCAGAGAAGTTCCAACTACTCCTGAGGCTTTTTCACTTTGGTTAGAAGCACAGGTGTCAAATTACTCCAAGAAAATTCCAAGAAATTCTGCCCAAAGAAAATGTCTCCCCCTCCCCCCACCCCACCTCCCCTCCAACACACCACAAAACTCTGCTCTCTGGAGAATCCTAGACCAGCACCTCCATCTCCAGATTTTCGGATTTTCAAGGAACTTTAAAATTTGCATCTTTGAGTTTTCAGGTGTTCAAGAAATTTTAGCCATCAAAACTCATCATCTCGGGATCTGCTTCCAACTTAGGAGAGTCCTTGGGGGTGAAAGCCTTGTTCCTCTGTTTAAAGCAGTTTGAAATCTTGAGTTTGTTGTGTTTATCTGTGTGGTTTATTGTAAGTGTAATTACATTAGCGTGAAACCATACAAATTACCACCCACCCCTACCAATATTTTTCCTATTCACTACTACCAACTTTTAACTGTATTCTCACTTTTTATTTTGTTGGGCCAGTATCTATGCTACACATTTTACATGCATTATCTTATTTTATCCCCACAATAAGCTTTGGAGGAAAGTACTTCTACTATCTCAGTGGAAAGTAGGGCTTAGAGATATTCAATAACTTGATCAATGTCATATAGTTCAAATGGCCTATTTAACTACAAAGTCTGAGTTTTTAAATGCAGTATCTTACAGCTATAGGTGGACCTTAGCCCCACATTTTGCACAAAGCCTGGTCTTCCTTTTGCATGGGCTGACTGCACTTTTCTCTCAATATAAATATCCTTAGTCTTTTGCTGATCTTCTCTTGAATAAAAGAATAAGGGATATTTCAACAGGTCCCACTACAAAGTTTTCTTTACACCCATGATGTTTTCAGAAGTGACAGCAAAGAGATGGGAAATAAATGTTTAGACAGCAAAGTTTTTGTCTGAAAGTTTTATGGAACTGTTTTGGGGGTTCTATTTCGCTGGAAAACCATGTCATGGGGGTTGGGGTCAAAACGTCTATCCAGGGTTCTATTTCCAAGAAACGGTCTTCTGAGTCAATCCCAGGAAAAGGTCAGCTGCTTATCCTTTTCCTACAAGTTCCAGAAGGGAAATTTTAAAATCCAGCTTCAATAATTCTTGGAAAAGTGGTAACGAGTTATCATGGAGGCAATACGAAATACTGAAGAATTTGAAGAAAAGTCAGATGACCTGAGCTCTGGTTCTACCCACCTCCTATTAACTATATGATCTTGACTTCTCTAAGCCTCAGCTTCATGTTTTAAAATATAGGACATGTTTCTACCTTACAAGGCAGTTGCAACAATCGAAATGGAAAATGCTTATTTAAGTATTACCAAACCATAAAATACTACATAAATGGAAGGCAGTTGTTGATGATGGTAAAATTTGTGCTTTTGATACAGATACGACTAAAACCGAAGAAAAAAGTGGCTAGTTAACTGGCTGTGTTTTCCTTTTGGAATACCCTGTTTAACTTACTTTTTCTTTACTGAATTGATCTCATTGATTTGTTATGCAGTTAGACAACACCAAGGAAGTTTTAAAAGGCAAAACCCTGCTTGACAGCAGAGGGCAGTTTGGACCTAAGGAGTATTTCACAATTGAACTAAGGCCTCACATGATGTTGTGAGATTATACAATTATTTTGTATTGAAAGAGTAAAGAGGGTTATTTGCACATCTCTACCTGTATTCTTCGATCTTCAATTCTACTTTCATTTCTCCTTCAAGCAGTGTTGATTCCCAAGACAAAGTTAGAAACTAATTGGACAACATTGTTTAACTTTAAAAATCACATGTACATTATTTGAATTTGTGAATTCAAAAAATTGACAACCACTGACATGGTCTCAATCCATCTGCTGTTCTCAACCTGAAATCCCATCATAGTTTCTTTGGTAACTCTTGAGGACTGTAAAACAATGGCTCCAACTTTCATGTCTTTTTGTTTGTGTGTGTGGGTGTGTGTGTGTTGTGAGGTGGGGGGTGCAGCTGAGGAGAAGTGATTATTGGAATCCAACAAATCTGAGGTCAGACAGATCTTGACTTTGTTATTTATTGCTTTGTAGCTGTGGCCAAGTCCTGTCTTTGAGCTTCCATTTCCTTATCTGTAAAATGAGGCTACTATATCACAATGTTATGGGGGAGAATCAAATGAATGAAAATATATGTACTTTGAAATATGTAAAGAAATATTCTTTCCCAATTTGTGTTTCTTAGAACACAATTATACCATTTCTTTGAAGAAAGTATTAAACATATGTGGGAAAGTTTTCATACTATGTTTCTTTTAAGGTAACTGGCACATTAAAAGCCCTAAAATAGTATGGTTCAAAGGAGTTTTCTGCAATGATGAAAATGTTCTGGAATAAGTGCTGTCCAATAAGACAGTCATTAGTCACATGTGCCCACTGAGTACTGAATTGTAGCTCCTGCATCTGAATAACTGATTTTTAATTTTAATTAATTGCCATTAAGATTAAAATAGCCACATATGCCTAAAGGCTTCCATATTGGACATTGCTGTTCTAAAAAAACTTATATTAGGAAATGTATTTGTTTGATTCAACCCCAGGTAGTTCAGACTCATTTGTTTACGGATGTGTAGGGTTTGTCTGTTTGTGTTTAGCATCTTTTAATATTGGTTTAGTTTCCCCAGTTGGGAAATGTTGAACATTCTATCTTTACTAACACTTCTCTTTCCCTGGTCTCCAAAATTGCTACAGGCCAAGGAAACACTTTCTCCATTCCATCCCCTTGGCACACAGCCCATACAGGAGAAGAGATAGTCTTTGCCAAGAATCAGTGTCTGCATTCCAGTAAAGCAATGTTCTGGCCAAACTATGTATTTTAAATCTTTGCCATAAGGAAATTAAAGTTCTTGAAGCAAATTCTTAACTTGAAACTTTTTCAACAGCAGGTAACTATTCTGATCCACAAGTACTGTCTAAACTTGGTCAGTCATGGTCATCTTGCTGTGAATGAAATTTTTAATGTAGATACACAATTTGAGATATACAGGAAAAGTTATTCCCATCAAGCTGTTATAAAAAGCAGGTAATGAAAAGCATTACTAATCTTTAAAACATGAGACCATATCCTATTGTTTCAATCCTAAATTTATATTTCTGCCAATCTCTGTGCATTTCATCAATAAAAGATTAACGAGCAAATAAACTGGGACTTAATTAAGGAGATAACGGTGAACAGTTTTATTTATTCATGAGTTTCACTGGCCCAGTTTAGTCCTCCACTTAGAAATTCAATTCTTTAATATTAGCAAAGTATAGTGTTTTCCAGCTCAATTATTAAGAACCAATAGTCTTTACTGGTAACATTTTCAAGTAATTTTAAGTAAGAATATGGAAGTTAAACATTAAAATGACAACAAAAAACTGCCAAAGATTACAGAAAGAAAGCTAGAGCTTCTCTCTTTATTCATTAGATCAATGATCAATTCAATTAATCAAGTATATCCCAGAACTTTGTAGAAGGTGCTTGAGGAGCCTGGTGAGTAACAAACTTGTCCTGTCCTCTCCCCCAACTAAAGGTGTTAACTTTGGGTAGCGAATAGTGACCAGGCCACTGGAGAGAAGGTATAATTCCTTGAAAAGCACTTTCAGAAGCCTCAGAGCCTGGCCCAGGAAAGAGTCCCATTCATGACAGTGGAAACATGTCTCTCTTTGACAGAGGACAACCAGCTTCTTTTGGGCTGAGGTCTGAACTGGAGGCTTTACTTAGAGGCCCTTTATTATCTTTACAGTTAGGTAAGGACCCTTACATCACCCCAAAAGATCTAAAAAAGAAATAGAGGATAGAGGTGGGGCTCCAACCCCTCAGAAATACAGAAAGAAGCACAGAGCAGTAGGTTTGGAGAAAAGACTTTTGGTGATCTTGATGACACTGTGTAATACATGTGCATGTCAGGGTCAGATAAGTTTGTGATATTTTGTCACTAAACCTTGCAAGGGCTCCTGGAGGGCACAGTGGTTAAGAACACAGGCCTGGGATCAGATAGACCTGAGAATGAATACCAAGTCTATCACCTCTAGCAGTGTAAATTTAGGCAAATTATTAAACATCCATGAGCCTCAGTTTTCATATCTGTAAAATGGGGGAAATAAGAGTATTTACCTCATGAGGTTGTTCTAAAAATGAAATGATGTGCTTAAAGTTCTTAGCATGAAGCCAGGAAAAGAAACTATAGCTGCTGCTCTTATTGGCAAAATAAAGGCTCTCTAGGACCCTATGGTAAACAAACCTGCTGATTTTGTTTTAGCACAGTTTTTCAAACTTAAATTTTAGTATTGAACTGTTTTCCCTTTCTGGTGAAGGAGGGGAACACCTGTGATACAAAACACTGATTTTGTGTACAGTACAGAAGATTCTTCAGTCCTCTCCTTGATCAGCTTCGATGTTCTCACTTTAAAGCTCAGAGCAATTTGCAAATGCAGAGCAAACACTGAAAGACGTGCCCTTGAAAGCAGAAGCAATGATGACTATTAGAACAGAGACAAACATATTTCCTTGCTGTCTCTTAATAGATTTGAATAATTTAAACTTGGTCACCTCTTTAAAAGCAAATAAAAAACAAATAGCCCTTGACACCCCTGAGAAGGTACCTAACAAAAAGGACAGGAACAAGAGAGAAGGCACCAGAGGATCTTGGTAGACAAACATGAGCACAAATGGAATGAGTGATACAGAAGAATGCATTAGGAATATCTTGATCTTTCCTGGGTATGCATGGCAGTTCCCATCCTTTCATCATTAGAGAATACAAAATGAAGCTTGAAGCAGGAAACAAGAGAAACAAAAAAAAAAAAAAGAAAAAGAAAAAACACCAAACAGGAAAACCAAAAACATCAGATTCCATGTCAATATTTGCATGTAGAGTCCCAAAAGGTACATTTGTGACAAACTGCTCCATCACCTGTCACCACACTTAGAACCAACCTTATAGGCTGACTAGCCTGTCAAATGATGACATCAGAGAGCAGTTTGTTTCAGTGGCAGCCTGATTAGGCTGGAGATGAAATAAGGCAGCCTCTTTTTTGCTGTCCTCTAAAATCTCCTTTTCAAATCCTACTTCTTTTTCTCTGAAATAGTTAGAGAAGTTAACATAGTTTTCCCCAATTAAAAAAAAAAGGAAATAGAAAATACATAGACCTACAAAACCCAGGGCTTTTGGAAAAAATACAGATCTATATAACACGGTGATTAGAATTGATAACACTGTATTGTATGATTGAAATCTGCCAAGAAAGTAGAGCTTAAATGTTCTCATCAAAAAAATTAAAAAAAAAAAAGAAAAAGGTAAGTATGTGAGCTGATGGATGCATTAACTTGGTGGGACAAATATTTCACAATGTATGTGTGTATCAAATTATCACATTGTACACTGTAAATATCTTAGAATTTTGTCAGTTATATCTCAATAAAGTGGAAGAATTAAAAAAAAAACAAACATAAAACAAACTAGGTCCCCTGTGGAGACATCTGATGAGGAAATCAGACATTTAACTTGAAGCACATTTTCTGTGAAACCTGTCTTTCTAGAACTTTCCTGAATTCTAAAAATGAGATCACCGCTTTCTTTAAAAAATAGAGATCTTATCTGCAGGGTGGAAGGGCACTCCTAAGGGTCAGGAGTGCAGGGCAGGACACATCCACAGACTTGCACTACCACCGCGAGCACTGGATGGACTAGGACATGCCACAGGGCACAGGACACCCACAGCGAAGGAGGGATGGCTGAAGCTCTATCTAAAGCCAACTGCCAGGCAGGAGGAGGGTGTTGCTCACACTGCAGCAGCCACGGCCATTCCCGGCACACGACGCACACTCAAACAGGGAGACGTACCACTGGTGGTCCCCAGACCACTGCCCGAGCCGGGTCCGGGGGACGAAACCACAGTCCTGTAGGTGGGTGGTGGCGGGGGAGGCGGAGTTGCTCTCTGTCCCAACCCAAAATCTTTAGGAGATGAGATTGTTTCTAAGTAATCATCTTTAATGACGTTCTGCTCAGCTTTCTTCTGGACTTCTTCTAAATTGAGCGGCGACGGTACATTGCGAGGAGGACCCGGAGGTCCTGAGGGGCCAGGAGGACCCGGGGGACCCGGAGGTGGGGAGTCAGCTGGGTTGTCTGAGGCAGCTGGTGGGGACACCACCTTTTCCCTTGGAGTCAACTCTGGAGTAACACGTTCCGGGGATGTGTCAGAAAAATGGACCCACTTGTCTTCAGCGTTAACAGCAACAGACTTGGGGGATAACACGGGGCCAAAAATGCTGTCCAAATCATTGATGGACGGTAGCTTTTCAATTTTGACCTCTGTGGCCGATTGGTCATTTCCTGTGGTTAAAGTAGTTGATTTTAAAATTTAATTGACTTTGTTAAAATTACTTGTATAGGAAGTGGGAGGGGTGAGGCAAAGCCTGATACATAGGTTATCTTGTGAGGTGCCAAGGTGGGAATATTTCATGATGGAAAAATATCTTGATTGTAGTTGCAGGGGAGGAGAGAGTTCCCTGCCTCTATATTGTGAACATTACCTTTTCTGCTATTATTTACCCTTGTGTGGGGTGATCTGACTTGGCTACATCTACCATCACCAGAAGTATAAGCATGCAACTGCCCTCCAGGGCTGCTCAGAAGAGAGCAAAGTGCGGTCATTCTGAGAAGGCATTCTCAGAAGTGTACAGGCTCTGGAACTGCAAATTTCAAAAGGGAGGTCCCTTTGGAAAGTTTGGCCTACTGAAATATATAGGACAGAACAGAAAAAGAAATGATAGCTGAAAATCACCCTCATATTTGATGAAGATTGTCTACCCTAGCATGTTAAATGAAACTGGTGAAACCAATGATAATATATGTTAGTTAAAAAAATTATCACATCATAAGTAGTTGTATATCTTCTACCTTGAACACACCAGAAACACAGCACAAAGATTATTTAAAGAGATATCCCCACATGAATATTTACAAATATACACATACACACCCCACGCACCATGCACATAGGATATTGAGAAGAATTGTTACATATAAACCCATTTAATAGGGAAGAAAATTATAAAAAATCTTCATAATTTCTTTTCTCATCATCTAACCTGTTAATACCATAGGCATAACTGATATATATATATCTGAATTCATGAAATAAAAAGTCTGTTTTGCTTAAATATTAGTATTAGCTATTCTTTTTAATTCTTACCAATAATAAAAGAAAAATTAAAACTATCTTCTATAGCTTGGCAGGAAGTAGTTGATAACAACTGAAATGTGAGGATTTTTAAACCAGGATTATTCAAATTAGAAATTGTTACCTAAATAATTGCAAGGCATGAGCCATTTTACCTTTAAATAACCTTTTAGCTGTAAGAGTAGGCTTAGTATTCATATATTTTCACAGTTGAAAAAAGTTACCCTTCAAGGTTTCAAGGCTACAAATAAATGGGACAGCAGTTTGCTGGGCCACAGTGTTTATACACTACTGGTAGACTCTAACATATCTCTAACATATTCATGAGACTACAAGGGGCCAAAATGGTTTGAACTTGCAAACACCTTTACCTGTGACACACCAGATGACTTCCTGTTGGGTCTGAGTCAATATAAATTCCATCAGTGACTATGTCTTGCATTTGCTCTTGTTGATAAATACCCCCTCTGTAGTTATCAAACTCACCAGATTGCATAAATAGCTATGGGTGAAGCTGCAATAGAATCCCAAAGGTGATGAAGAACTACATTCTAAAGACCCAGACACATAAAATAACTATTACTGCTTCTGAATTGCTAGTCCAGTAAGAAGAGGTACATTATAAATTGTAGGAATCCATAGTATTTATTTTAATAGCTGGTAAAAATATGCCTTAGAAGTCATCTGTCTAAAGGCATGCTGCAGTTCCTTGTCATATTTCATCATCCTTACACATCGCTTTGCCATGGGATAATAAATAATGACTACTGGGAAAAATCCTGCACTACCCAAGCTTACCTGTATATTGCATGTTCCAGGACCCATTTTATTATTATTGTGGATTACACAATATTAATTCTAATTAACTTATCAGCACTTAGAAAAATACGAATTATGCCTTGAGACTTTTAATTCTTCAGTCATTTAAAATGAGGTCCAATGAAGTGAGATGTCAATTAAACAATGGCTTTTAATATTGAGTTTTTATTTCTCTTATCTCACAAGTAAACATGACCTTTGTTCAACAAAATTATACAGAGAAAAATATGAGTTGAGAAAGTGAAACTTTTTGTGAAACCTGGGAGTGATACTTAAAGAAGTGTAAATAGTAAACTGTAGTGGAAGTAAAACTAAATGCAATCATTTTCATGTTTAGTTTAGCCTATAGATTTCAACACATCAAAGGCATGTTGAGGTCCAGGGCCACTGCTGATTGCCACACCATCCTAGGACAGAAAAAATAAAGCTTACCTGGTCCAACTGTTAAGGGGGAGCCTGTTCGGGGTGGGGTGGCTGGTACATTTTTTGGAGGCAGTGGTGGAGGAGCTGCCAAGAGATGAGAAGCCATTCATTACTGATCACTTTCTCCCTAAGTTATGTAATATTTCCCAGATAACCAGGATTTGGGCTTTCATTCATATTCTGCTATTGGAAAAGGGATAACTATTAGCAGTCCATATTTTTTTTTAAGTTCAAAGCTTAGTGATTGAAGCAGGACTCATTCAGATTTCTTCCATTTTATGATAGGAATTTGTCAAAAGAAAGTCAGATAATAGCAACAATAATATCATTTCATTCATTCATTCCTTTGTTTTACAAGCCTCAAAAGCCACCAAAGTCCTGTGACCTGTACTAGGGATGAAGGACATGGGGTTGAATACAATGATCCTCTGCCCTCTAGGAATTTACAGCTGAATGAAGGAAGACTGTGGTCACAGGCAACTGCAACTTAGAGTGTGGTCAAGGAAATGAGAGCAGCCTGGTGAGGGGCTTTTGATAGAGTCAGGATATTATAGCTTGGATTGAGTCTGGAAAGATTTCTCAAAGTAATGTCTTGAATTTGGGTATATTTTTGAAATCTATAGCAAAATGATTCAGGTCAAGGAAGAATGAACAGATTCCTTTGGTGGAAATTATAGCTGAAAAAAATCCCTGAGCTAGAAAAACTATTGTCTTCCAGCCCAACCCAGAGACTCATCCTTTTGAACTGGCTTGTCACTTTGTGGGCAAAGTTAAGAATTTCAACAGGTAAATCTTTTTTTCCCCCTTCATTCTTTAAATGTATGTTTTCCTCTCACTGCTATACTTGGTAAATTTGATGAGTTTCCTTTTTCTTTGGACTTCTTTCCCCAGTTACCTGGAGTAGGGGTTAGGGGCATTCTGGAACAAACAAGGCTGATGGCTCTGCTTTGAGATAAATGTGCCCTGATCTCCTGTCTCAGCTTCTTTCTACCATATGGCATCATTCTTCTTGTCCTCCAGTTAAACTCTTTCCCCTCAATGTGTCCCCTCTATCCTTTGAAGCCTCAGTTGTCCTCTAGGACAAGCAGAGACCTTATCTGACTTGGTTAGCTCTGTGCTGTGTGCTAGCCCATGCTTAGAACATAGCAGGGTCTTTAGTCCACTTGCTTGTCATGCCTATATAAGCCTATTGAATTAATGAATGAATAAGTGAGATGTCACACAGAAGCAGCTGTGGTTCAAAGTTACTTATTTTACTTTATTTATTGTATTATTCTTGTCTCAACTGACTGTCCTAGGCACCTTAACTCTAATGCTTATTAGAACAACATCTCTTCTTAATATTAAACAGTCCAAATGTTGCTTATGTAGATTTCCTAAGCATTGCCTAATTTCACTATGCAGACAGACAGTAAAATGAGTCACTTATTTTTCCAGACAGAGCAGACACATAACTTACTTCCAGTGGGAAAAGGCCTTGTTAACTTTGGCGACTCCATGCTTGGATTAATTGGTTGGCCTGAACCCCATATCTCAGGCTGATCTAAAAGAACTGGAAACATAAAAAGAACATTTCCCCGGGTGAGTTGAAAAAAGAAACATCCTGATTTTAGAACTTACAATTTCAATTTAAAGGGGAGCTTCACAAAATTATTTCTGCCTTGCTTCAGTCCTAAGTAAATTAATTTAGAGATGTGTTGTTCCTGATTCTCTTCAATCAGAGAATGGAAAAAACAGCAGGGTGTGCATGTTTGTGTGTGTGTGTGTGAGCTCGTGTGCAGAGGGATTATCTGTGTGCGGACATATAGCTAAATAAAAACTTGCAAAACAGAGTGTCTGCATTCTTTTCCTGGTGGGTCACTTAAGGACATTCTAAATGTCAATACATTTCTTGCACCCACTTGAAAATATAGGCATTATTCCCATGGACATTTGTTTTAAGTTGATTTATTTAAAGTTTTCCAAGAATATGCTTCAAGAATGAAAATGTCTGAATTCTGTACAGTGCTTCTCACCTTTCAAGGATCTTATGGGATCTTTAAACAAGCCTTTTACAACATTATAAAGAGAAATTAAATTATTTAGAAATGGTGAACATGTTAAAAGAACCAGAAAAATAAACAAGGGCTTCCCTGTTGGCTCAGTGGTAAAGAACTTGCCTGCCAATGCAGGAGACACAAGAGATGTGGGTTCGATCCCTGGCTTGGGAAGATCAGGGGAGGAGGAACTGGCAACCCACTTCAGTGTTCTTGCCTGGAGAATCCCTTGGACAGAGGAACCTTGCAGGCTACAGTCCATAGAGTCGCAAAGAGTGGGACGCGACTGAGCATGCATGCATGTAGACATCTAAAGTAAACCAGGGCAACTGGTATTAGGCCTGAGGACAATGAATCTAATCTTTCTTCTATTTTTTGTTTCTTTCTTCTGACTTTTTTTGTTGCTGTGGTAACAATGTGATGTACCAGTTCTTCTCATCACCTCTCATGTGTCAGGGTCTCTGTAAGTACTGCCTGTGATTCATTATGTTGTAAAACACAGGCTGGGAATTGGTTGGATGTGGATTTGATCCAGCCTCCATGGGGTCACAAAGAGTCAGACACAACTGAGCGACTGAACTGAACTGAACAACTAGGACCTTAGGCAATTCATGTAACCTCTGAGCTTCCCTTCCTTCAGTGCAGAGATAGTAAGAACCATCTCTAAGAGTTACTAAAGTATTAAAGGGGGTAATGTATATAAATATAATGTACACAAAATACCTATCATAAGGCCAATAGCTATTATGATTTTTCAGTCCTCACCATACCATCACGTGGTTGATATTGAGGAAACCAAAGATGACAGTGATTAAACAACTTGCTCAGCAACACATGGTGAAAATAGAAGAGCTAAGATCTGATCCCAGGCATGCATACCTAACTCCAAAAAAACATACTTTCCTCTCAGGCCTTGTAACCTAGTGATAGAAGAATCAATCAAAAATGTAAGAGTGGGTAGATAAGAAAAGTAGGTGGCAGAGCTAGTATCCTTGGTGCCAAGGCTGGAACTTCACAGAACTTCAGGGGCTGAAACCACCTAGAGAATAATCAGGCCATGATTATTGTGTGTCTCCTCTTCATCGCAAACCTCAGTGGTGGCCTTAGTTTTGTTTTTGTTTTAACGTGAAAGCATACATTGTCCAATGATCTGACACAGCATTTTGTTTTTTCTATGGATTCAGTGTGGAAAACCACTTCGATTTCTAAGAACGGTTTTCTATTTTGTATAGTAACTGAAGGTGGTTTGATTTGATACATTTGAATCTACCTATTAAAAAACTCCATCATATATGGAAACCTGATATGATGGAGTTTTTTAATAGGTAGATTCAAATGTAACAAATCAAACCACCTTCAGTTACTATACATATCATTAAAAGTGAGACTGATCCCAGAGGAATTAATAAGATGACTGAGCAACCTTAACGGTGTGCCCCCTTTCCTTATGGATTCTAAGTTGCAGACGTTTAAATCACTGAAGGAGTAGTTAGGGATGCTCCTTATTCACTTTCCTAACCACATTAATGAAAAACACTCAGTTGTGGCTGCCTGCTAGCTGTCTCCCAGGATCCACTCTCCATTTCTGCCACAGTTAAAGCTTAGCTGGCCAGATGGTACTAAATTCTTGCTGATGGGCTCTGGCTGGAAGTGGTGTGCGTCTATTTCAGGTTTTGCTCTTAGAAGAATTGGTAGTGAGTTCCATGGGTCCTCCCCCACACTTCTTTCTTCTGACTGTGACATAATGAGAATTTGAGCAACCCAGGGGTGAAGGCCACATGCTGGGGATGGCAGAGTTGCCCTTCAAGTCCTACACTGTGTTCTTTGAGACTGTTTACATGAAACAGAAATAAAATCTATCTTGTTTAATTTACTATACTTTGGAGTCCCTTTGTCACTATCCGAGTCTACTCATTATGCTTTTAAGTCTTATCGCCCTCAGCACTTTAATCTCCTTCACCAACGGGTTTTAGAAAAATCACATATAATTATACACAATCATAGTGTTCTTAAATCAAATGATTTTTTATAAAAAACACTCTATGTTATCAAACACAGCTGCTGGAGATGCACGCATTAGACCTACATACATCTTAGGACTAGGTTAGATCCCTTTCATAAGGAGTTTCTTTTATGCCAGTAAGGTATACATTATTCACAGGCATCAAAAAATGGTTAATATTTAAAAGTTAAAATATTTAATTCTAGGAATTAAATTTAGTAGGTAAATCCAACAATAACAGCCAAAATGATATTTTTCCCATAACAATTTTTTTCTACGTGTTAAATGATTTAAGGTCATTCCTGGGTCTTGAGTTTGCAAACAGTGTCTGTTGTGTGAGCAGTCCAATTGACACCTCCACTGATGAGGCGGACAAGAGAGAAAATGTGGTCATAGAGGCTAGATCACAATGACAGGGATTATGATGAGGAATTTGAAGGTCTCGGTCCATAGTGATGGCACTTTGGCTCATAAACCACCTACTCCCTGACTAGTGAGTTGTACAGATTTTCAGTAATTCTTATTGACCTCTTTTGAAGAGTGAACATGTTAGCTCTTAGCTACCTCTGGAGGTAAAATTTCAAATCCTGAAATACTAAGAGGTCTGCAAACTAAACTCCCATACTGATAGCACACCTAGATCAGAACTATTCTTTCACATGAAGATCTAGTGGTACATTAAAAACATGCCTCAAAACACATTTACTCTAGATAAGGTATACTTTATCGAAAAGAAAAACAAATCCATAGATACACAGAGTTTTTCCTACCTTCTGTCTTCTGTTCATCAAAAGCTGATTCTAATGGTGGACCAAAGAGGGGAGCAAGCGCTGTGGTGTCCTCTGAAGGTTTTTTGCTAAATCACACACATCACAGCAAAACATAGAGAAAGGAAATATTAATGTCAAAAGAGATATAAAGCTTTCAAATATCTTCCACAGTAAGGCTGATGTATGTGTGCACTTATGTACATACATAAATATGCACTCATGCTCTGGAGGGGCTAAAAAGCTATATATGAAGATGTCAAAAGTATGAGGACAAAAGAATTGGTAAGAGGTAAGATTCCTGGTTCTCAATTGGGTGCCAGGGGGTTGGTCCAACAGAAATAAGACAGAGAGAAACTCTTTGAAAGCATCAGATTCTCTAAACCTAGAAGAGATAATACTAAAGATAACCATTTACTACAAAGCACCTTCTTCTCATAAGATCTCAAAAACCATTTATATCTGTCTTCACTGCATCTCTGTGTTGTAGTTAATGCAGAGTATGATCAGTGAATGTCAGGCACAGGGAAATTAAGGAACAAGCCACCAGGAAGTTCATCTTTGAATAAGAAACTTAGTCCACCAACTTTTAACTTCCATCCTCCCCCCTCCACCCTACACAGTAGACTAATTATAACCTCCTAACACCTTAATATTGCACGTCTCAGAAAGAGAAGAATATTGAGAAATCAGGGAGAAAAGAAGGGTAATGAGTTCAATGCTCATCCTTTTAACTAATTATTGCTTAAATCGATTATTAACAAGAAGCACATAATCATCTCCATTTCTTCCCCAGACCTGATTTCTCTCATTGATCTTAATGAGTTTTATCTGTTTATTGGGGGTAAGAGGTGAAGAGGAGAGGAGAGGGGTTAGAGGAGGAGGGAAAGGTAAAAGGATCCAGCTTTTCGATAGAAATAGGAGTCTTTGCAGGGAAACACCACTTATGTGCACAAGACTTACTTATCCCAAGGACTGCCCAGTATGAAATATAATGCTTTGCCAAAATCAGAAAACAAAATAGAACATTCTTCTGGTGTGTGATATAGAATGTATCACAAAACTGTATCCAACTAAACAGGCTGCTCTTTTTAAAAACACTTTTAATTTCAAAATAATTGGTTTACAATGTTTCATTGGTTTCTGCCATACAAAAGTGTAAACCAGTCACAAGTATACAAACGTCACCTCCCTCTCGAACCTCCTTCCTATCCATCCCCTCATCTCACCCCTGTGTGTTATCACAGAGCACCAGGTGGAGCTTCTTGTGTTACACGGCAACTTGCGTTACCATATTTACATATGGTAATATACATACATAAATGCCATTCTCAATTTGTCTCACCCTCTCCTTCCCTCGCTGGGTCCACAAGTCTGTTCTCTACATCTGCATCTTTATTCCTGACCTGCAAATAGCTTCATCAGTACCATTTTTCTAGATCCCATATATATCCACTAATATATGCTGCTGCTGCTGCTAAGTCGCCTCAGTCGTGTCTGACTCTTTGCGACCCCATGGACTGCAGCCCACAAGGCTCCTCCGTCCATGGGATTTTCCAGGCAAGAGTACTGGAGTGGGTTGCCATTGCCTTCTCCAATTAATATATGATATTTGTTTTTTTCTCTCTGACTTACTTCACTCTGTATAACAGGCTCTAGGTTCATCCACTTCACTAAAATTGACTCAAATTCATTTCTCTTTGTGGATGAGTAATATTGCATTGTATGTATGAACCACAACTTTTTTTATCCATTCACCTGTTGATGGACATCTAGGCTGTTCCCATGTCCTGGCTGATGTAAATAGTGCTACAGGGAACACTGGGGTACACGTGTCTTTTTGAATCACGGTTTTCTCAGGTTATATGCCCCGTAGTGGGATTGCTGCATCATATGGTAATTTTATTCCTAGTTTTTTAAGGAATCTTCCTACTGTCTTCCATAGTGGCTGTATTTACATTTCCACCAATAGGATAAGAGGGTTCTCTTTCACCACACCCTCTCCAGGATTTATTGTTTGTAGGCTTTTTGATGATGGCGTTCTGTCTCATGTGAGGTGATACCTCATTGTAGTTTTGATTTACATTTCTCTAATAACAACAGGCTACTCTTTGTAGGGCAATATAATCATATTTCAGATCAGCATTCCACATACCAAATGATGTCTTCCTATAGACCTTTAACTCTCTCATTAGTGAAGGGTTGCATATTCTGATAGATGTTACTTTAGATGACTACAGAGTACTTCCTTAACGGTCCCCCTCAGGCTGCACTTGGGCGAAATGATAACATATTTAAATCTGCGATGACCTACACACAGAGGCAGACCCTTTGTAATTAGATGCTGAGAGTTTAGTTCAAAGGGGATTTGTTCCACTGTTACCAGTGCATGATACCTTGCATAAAACACAACTAACAGCTTTCATGCTCACCTTATGAGCTCTGGAGTTGGTGTGGAACGCCTGGGTCTCGCTACTTCTTCACCTGATGCATAGGACAAAGAAAGTTTTTAGGCATATTTTTACCATTTTTTCTCTTATGTCTTATAAGCTATGTTTGAAAACAGAGATTTAAATCCCATGAATAAGCAACTCCATGTGAAAACTTTGCAAGACAAACCCAGGAACAAACTCTCTCCCCTGGCAATGCAATAGTCATATATTAGGCATAAGTAGTAGCATTTTCTTTGGCATTTATAAAACCTTATCAAGGAATCACCATGATAAGCCATCAAACGGAAGATTTGTACACTGCAGAGCTTAGTGGAATAGCACACTGTTCTTTGAATGCCTGTTGCCTTGATCAGTTCTGCATTTCAATTACCATATGAGAATACCAAGCCAGGCCATATGTACACAGTGCATGAATCCAGCATTCTCTGCCTGTTCTTTTCTTGAAATGCCAAGAAAATGTTATACCTTTAACTAGGAACCATTCATTTAAAATTTCCTAGAATGTGCTGTATGCAGAAGAAAATCATGCCACATGTATATTATAACCTATCTCACATCACTTTGGTGTACAAACATTTTCATATCAAATACACAAGAATGGGCATTGCAGCTACCTTCAGTTCCTTCTGCCCTCCTCCTCTCCCTATTCCAATTAGAAAACACACACTTGATTAAATTCATTTCTAAAGTCAAACGACACAGTATGCGTGCTCAGTCGCTTCAGTTGTGTCCAACTCTTTGTGACCCCAAGGACTGTAGCCTGCCAGGATCCTCTGTCCATGGAGACTCTCCAGGCAAGAATATTGGAGTGAATTGGCATTTCCTTCTCCAAGGAAGGAAATAGCAATGTTTATCCAAAAACATATTCACTTTGAGGATTTAAATATTAATCATTCAGAACCCACTGAGCCCTTTTATCATTACAAGATTTCTTTGCTGTAAAAGTAAGACATTCATTAGCCTTAAAAATCAAGCTCAAGAATGTATATGTCAAATGTATATATACTCCAAGATCCAAGGAACTGTTTTGTCTTTTAAATTGTACTCTATTTCTGGTAGCTAAGATATACTTACTGGATAAGTTCCTTTTAATTGCACCCTAGAATTAGAAATAGACACTATAAGGTTTAAGACCACATATATGTACAATATCTATATTTCTGTCATTGCAATTAAACTGAACTTAAAGAAATGCAGATGGGGAAAAATGAATTTTTTTTCAGAATTGCATTCAAGTTAAAAATTGTAGACACCCACATATAAATCAATTTTTCACTTTACTCAAAGGTTACAGAGAGGAAGGGGAAGTAATAAATAATCCAAACCGGGTGGGAGGGGGGAGGGAAACAACCTTTACCTGGGTAGATTTAGTAAATTAAAGCAAAAAAAAAAAAAAATTCTTGAAATCTAGCATACAAGAAAGTAAATCCAAGTTTAACTTATATTTAATTTTTAAAAAGTATATGTATGTCATGTATTCTCTGCTCTTATTGAATGGGGTCCATAAGCTGCTTGTAGAAACAGTCATTAGTTGACTAATGCAATTTTTAAAGATTCATGTGGAAAATGTTAAAAACAAGGAAAATGTGAAGGCATTACCTCTGAATGGACTGCTCTATTCAGGGAACCAGAGAATTCCATTCTTCCCCACTCACACTCTCTACCTCAGTTTCTTTTACATGCCTGCCATGGGGGCACCAATCTATCAAGTGGGAATCATTCCTTTAGCTCAAGGCATTGTGATCCTATTGGAATGCAAATTTCCCTGGCAGGAATAATCTGAGAAGGTCATTTTCAGATTTTTTCAGGCCCTAGCAGAAACTCTTTTTGGTAACAAAGGATTGATTAAAGTTTTGATTCAAAACCACCATGAAAGGTTCTTAGAATGTGATGCTTCCAGAAAAGTAGACCACTAGAAGCATGGTCTCGTAAGATGGGCATGGGTTTGGCAGGGCCTCCTTAGGAGAATGACAGGGGCAGAGTTTAGGATGGGGAACTGGAAGAACAAGAAACTTTTCAAAACTCATACAATTAAAAGTTTGGTGGGTGACAGCCAAACACACATTTATTTCTACTCCTACTTTAGTGAAGGCTCAACCTGGTGGTCACAGATTTTTCTTCTCTCAAATGATAGCATAAAAACTTAGGGCAAGATACAGCATCTCTGTAACAGACCTGTAAGAATCTTCTTTTGCTCTTTCCTAAGGTTTTATCAAAATTTTGTCTCATTTTGAATTCATTTGCAGTAGCGAAACAGTTTCAGTCTGAATAAGGATCCACTAGATGTTTTCTGGTGACTGGCCTAATCTCTCAAACTATATTTTCTGGCTTGTCTTGCCTAATAATATAGTTTGCATACATGTGCCATATAGAGATTATTATGTTATTAGGAAAAATATTTTTAAGTTAATAAATACTTTATTTAATAAACATTTTAAATCAGTATTTTTAATTAAGTTAACACACTTATTTAAATTAATGCATATATTAAATAAATATGATCATTTAAATCAGCTTTGGTCATTATGAGAGTTTTGATACAGGTTGGCTTTTGGAAAATAAGACTCCATAGACAAAGTAATAAGAGAACAATTGTTTAAATGTATTTCAAATGGTTTTCCAGGTTGGAGAGCCTCAAACAGTCAGATTTTTATCAAAAAGTTCTGAAGGAAAAGATTGGGGACTTTAGGTCCAAGTAGTCAGTTATGAGGTTGACACTGAGGGGATAGGACCTATTTAGTATAAAGAGACCTGAAATTCAGGAGTTGGGGGACCCCAGAAGCTGTATTGAAGACCTTTTGATCTCTGTCTTACACCTTTATTTAAAAAGTAATACTCATGAAACGAAGAAAGATACACAGTTTCCTTGGTATTTTTCGGTATTCATCATTTCCCAGTGTATCAATTCATTTGAAAGACATTTATTGTTGAGAGATACTAGACAAGAAGCCCCTGTAATATTTTATTAAATACTCCTCATGAATGAACAATCATATTCAAGAGGAAGGAAGACATGGCAGAAATATGCACACAAACCATTATTTAGAAATTAGAAAGAATAAAATCACATCAATTTAGAAAGGAACAGATGTTCGAACCATCAGCAGTAAGTGTTCATCAACAGAAAAGAAAGTCCCATTGCCCCTGGATCTGGCATACAGATCTCTCAAGATGGCCTTGATGTCGATGCAGGACAAATCCAGAGCAAGGTTAAGGTGATATTGATGACACAAACCACATTCAGGAAAAATGCCTATTGATTCTAAAACCTTCTCCTCCCTAAGTGACCACATTTTCCTCCTCTAAAGAACTGTCATTATAGGTAGACTGTGAATAGACTTCCTGCATTTTGAATTAGTTAATTCACTCTTTTTCTTTTGTTGAAAAAAGGAGTAACTTGTCATAATCTGAGACGTTACCCAACTGCTGGACTGGAATCAGCCATATAGTCCCTGCAGGTGTTATTTTTGATCATCAACTCTGTGGCTTAATCAGAGAACCACAGCTTCTCAGCTGGCACAAAATATTTGCCTTCAGGAGTAACTGATTGATCCAATTGGCATAGGCCTAATTTCCAAGAGCATTATTTTGGTTCCATTACCTCTCTCAAGGGACTGACCAGGCAGGTGGAGGTTATTTCAAACATAGCAAAGACTCTTCTTGTTGCTTCAAATTTATCACACTTTCAACCTGAGGAAAATGACTAAGATTTACTCTGGACAGTGCAAACTAACACCGGTTTGCCTCCAGTGATGAAATATATATATGTGACAACCTAGAAAGATTGACTTGAAAGCATGTTTCTTCCTCTCAAGATAAAAGTTATGATTATGTATGATTGTACATCAGTATACTGACAAATATGAGTTATGGTCCAGGGACTTATATTAAATTTAGGTTTGAAAACAATGTGGCTTACAAATTCTTTCCTTCTTTTCTTTACAGTTTTCTTATTCTATTATCACCTTGCTATAAATGTCTATGCTGGTTTCTGGATAATCTCCAGGGCTTGCATACATGCACACCACACACACACACACATACCACATTTTTCACATTTAGCACTGGGAGTTGGGATACCTATTGTATTAGTTTAGTTTGTTATGGAAACATGCTCTGATGATCCTAAAACATGCTCTTGACACATATAAGACCAGAGACTTACAGCCACTAAACCTAATTTGTCTGCCTCATTTACACTGGGTTATCATAAATTTAATAAGACAACCTGGCCACCTTGCCAGTTATCTCTATACAGTTATCTCTATACAGGTTTAAGGTAAAAATGTTGAGGGTTCTTACCGGGCTGCGCCTCTGTGATCAGCAAAAAGGAAGAGAGAACAGACACCTAGTCAGAGAATGATGGATCAGTCAACAGGCTTGGGTAATAGAAGACTTCATAAACAACTAACTAAACACTCACTCCAAGTAATCAGGTCAAAGGAAGGCAGGCAGCCATTGTGTTTGTGGCTTATTTAAACCATAAGGAGGTTTTGGAGAACTTTAAAGGGAATATATCCACTGTATGATATAGCTTTGCTATTGGGTATATACCAGTTTCAGTTATGTGTACGTACAGACAAAGCAGAAACATACAAGAGAACTTTACTGATAGCTTTAAATGTCTTGTCATAAGGAGTTTTTCTTCATAGTGTTTGAGGAGGGGAGTTTTAGAGACGGTAGTACAGAGAAAACTGTTTTTCCACACAATAGAGTGTTAGTACACATCATAGATGTGATGGATTTCCCACATAATTAAAGCTTTAATCAGAGTCTCCAAAAATCAGAGAGCAGGGTAAGAGATACCTCTTCTTTGCCTGGTTTTTCTCTTTAGTGTTCTGTGAAATGAGTGCTGATAAGAAATTTTTTAAGGGTCTGTGTTCTTGGCCTGGTGACTTAAGCAGCCTCAAATGGATAGAATGGGGTTGGGCAGATGAGGAGCTCCTGAGAAGTGCAGGTGGAATGACAAAAACTGTCCAGCAGCAATAAAACTCTGGTGGGCCAGATGCCTGTAAAAACACGAGACGCTGACACACAGCTTCTTTCTTTCACTCTTCAAGCCTTGATCATGGCTGCTATCAATTTACCCCAACAACCCCTGGTTGCTCTCCCTCTTTAGGATTTGTCTTTAGTAACAAGAGCGACTGTGATGCGAGTGGAAAAGCAGCTGTGTCTCAGTTTCACTTTCAGGAATATGGCTTAGCCCATGAGTTCACCAGAGGTTGCCTGGAACCCAGTTACTGGCCAACTTTCAAAATCTGGGCAGGAGGCACAAACTCAGAAGTATCTAGAAGGTTGCTTAATGAAAAAGATGATTCTACTCTCTAGAACATAGACAAGAAATAAAAGCCTATAGTCATTTATACCTGGGGGCTTCCGCAGATCTCTAGTCCAACTGCCTCTGTGATATAGAGAGCAAAGTGAAGCTCTGAGGTCCAGAGCTAGGAAATGGATACAACCGGAAACAGACTTCAGAGCTCAGGTCTGCTAAACTCATGTTCTTTCTAGGACACCAAGCCTGATGTTGCTGGAGGACTCCAAAGACAGGGAGCCAGGAACTGGTAAGTAAGCTAGGATTTTAGAAATACTTACTCTAGTTGATTTTACTAGGCGTTTTTCTGATTCTATTCCATATTGATCCCACCTTTCTTATAAATATATGCATGATGCAATTTAAATAAAATTAGTAAAAAGGACAGATGAGTATGTATTTCTGGGCTTAAATTCTTTTACTGACAAATTGTTACTGTCTTTTGAGAGAAATTCAAGCACTCTTTTATATAAAGATTTAGAGTTTATAATTCTTTGCCGACCAGGCTAAAGTTCTTCTCTAAAGAAGGAGATGTGGGCATTTATGATTTTAGCTTTAATTTCATGGCAAACAATTCATTCTTAAAAGCAGCATAAAATACAGCAAAGAGGTGTTTAAAAGTGATGCAATTTCCCCCAAGACAACTATGAGAAATAATGCAAAATAAAATGTATATTGCAACCATGCAGAGGCAGAAACTTAAATTCAATAATCTCTACAAAGATTATAGAGGACATTTGTTAAAATCATTTCAATTATATTAATTCACCCAAATTAAGTTCAATCAGTTAAAAACCTATATAGTTTAACCAATAGTTCCTGTTTGTATTTTTTCTAGTAAAGGTAACATGAAAAAAGGAACCTCAAGGAACAGCTGTTGAAATTCATGTAGTCACAAGCTTATTCACAAGAATTCAGAAGATCCAGCTAAAAGCTGTGAAAAGCTCATGTCCAAAAGCCTCAAGGTCCATAATCAAAAGCTATCTGAAACCTTCAAAAGGAAAGGGATTCCATAAGCCAAATTGAAAGGCTTTTTCTCCACTAATTATCACCTTTAAGGAGCATAAAGCAGTTGTAGGTTTCGCTGAACAGCAAAATCATTCTCAACCAGGAGGGGAGGGTCTTTCCTGTCAATAGTTTATTTTACTCTTTTTCTTGTCATTTCCCAAGAATTCTGAGGTCTTTAGCATTCTATCTTTGTTCTACCAACATATAGAATTTGCTTCAAGGGTGGAAGGAAACATTCAGCATCTGATCTTGATATATTCTGGAAGCTGAACACTCTCTGTGTTAAACTGCAAACTCAAAAGCATGCAGGGCAAGGAGCAGGAAAGCTATGGATCAGGGCATGAGAGTTTTATGGAGCTTTGGTGAAGTGGCCGCAACTCAGGGCCACTTGAACACAAATTATGTGTTCAATAATCCTGCCGAATCTTTAGAGTTGTCAGAGAATGGGCCTATTGATTCTGATTTTTAAATGGCACTCAGATTGTCTGCATGACCAAACAAAACATCTTTTCAGTTGTTCAGAATCTGCAGGTGGCCAATTTGTCTCTGATTGCAGACATTTGTATCACACATAATAAGCTCTCAGCGAATTTTTTATATACTGTTATTATTATTTCACCTGATTACTCAAACAGGGACATTGCAGTTGGTCTATTTGTTTTCTGAACAAATTTCCTGTGTTCCTAGTTAAACATTAATTGTTCAGTTCCTCAACTTCTCTCGATCTTCTGATGCACTCTGGAGAAGGTACTGAAAAACATTTTATTTTCCCCTCTACTTTTATTTTGATGTTCAAGTTTATACATCAGATTTACTTTGTATTTTAAGGCTATTTTCAAAATGGGTATACACTACTAATTTATGACTTGGTCACTAGAATGAAGATCTTTGCTTAGAATATTTTGCATTTTTAAAATTTATATACTATGCCATTTGAATACACCTTCTAAAAGAAAATACTTCAGTATATGTCCTCACAGTATCCTTATCCTACACCAGCCTTGTTTTGTTTATTTTTTGCACAAAAGGATTAATTTAAATTCCGCTAACTAGGATAACTTGTCTTTGCCAATACGCGTAAGTGTTTTGAGATATTTATAAAAAGAAGTCACCAAACACAATCTGTCCAGCTTGTCAAAAATCACTAAATAACCAGTTTCAGGTTTTGAAGCTTTACAACATCCTCATTTGCTAAAATTTAGTGCTATAGGGAAACACCAGAAAATGCGTGAAAAGTCACAAAGCACTAAACAAATATTATTTTTATGCAGTCTAGTCATAGCAAATTCAGTGATTCATAGTAGTGAATTTTCTAGGAAAGAATTAGCATATATGATCATTTTGTTTATTATTATGTCATTAACCAATATTCTTATTTGCTTTTAAATGCTTTAGGATAACCTATCTGGCAAGCACCTATTGGAAGCCCCCACCCTTGCCAATTGCTGTGTTTGTCTATATTTAAATTTGTTCCTATACCTCTTACAAGTCAGATGACAGTGAGTGCCTATCAGATCCAATAAGACTTAGTAGAAATAATCTTCCAAAACTCCATATGGGAAGAGAAGCAAAGAGCCTGTTACTAGCTGAGACATCACTAAAAGTTCACTGGGTTGAAATATCAACAACATGGTAGTATTACCAAAGAAAAATGAGGCAGGGAGCAAGAGGAAAACTCATCCTTAAAGGCACAGCTAGCAAGGAAATGGAGTACTTACAGTTGAAACTGCTGTAAGAACAACAGGAGGAAAACCAATGAAGAACAGGAAATTTTTAAAGCCCCATGGGTAAACTTCAGGCCATTTAATCTTGTTAATATTTGAAGTGGCCAAGTTTGGATAATTCAGAGAAAGATTCAGAGTCAAAGAGGATAAGTGAAATGGGCAAAATATCAAAAAGTTTACAGAAGCACACCAACAATGTGTGTGTCACACAGCATGGGACACAGGGTTGACTCTCACTTACTCAGAGTGGGCCATTCCATTTATTAATAATCAATTATGATACATACTAATTTTATGCTTGGAAACCAAGCCATGGAGTCCATATTTTGATAAACTGTAATATTTTGATTCCATCTTTTGTTCTTCCTTTGTCTTCTGTTCTTCCTTCCTCCAATCACATGAAATTGCTGTCAGTGCATTTCCTGCACATGGTATAGAGACTGACAGGCTTGGGTCTGTGGGCAGGATGGGAGGTCTAGCAATCATTGCACCTCACCAATGAGGTGAGGTCAATAGACAACCAACCACTTCTCAGTGTGTGTTAACATGGAAATACAATATTTTCATATTTTCCACTGGAGAGGTCACCTGTATCAGCATCCTGGGATCATGTTCCCAATAAACTAGGCAGAGGAGCCCAGAACAATGAATTTTTTTTTAGTAGGTCAGTTTCATTGTTGCTCCAAAAAAAAAAAAAATGTAGATACATTTTATCAGATTTGTGTTGCCACTGAAAATCACCCCAGTGATAAAAAGGATCATGTAAGAGGTGATTTGTGATTTACAAAGATCTTTATCTGTCTCTGACAACATCAGAACGGGATAATTTTTCTGATTAATTAAAAAAAAAAAAGAAGAGAAAAAGACAACTTGCTTCTCCTAGGCCAGATTCATAAGCATTCACTCAGAATGCTATCATGTTGTACATTACCAAAAAAGTAACAAAAAAATACATGTAGCTTGATGAACCCAAATAGAAGCTGCAATAAATGGAACTTAACACTGAAATATTTTATCATATGCCTGTGTGATTGGGGAAGATGTGAATCTTTACAAAATTACCTTGTGGCCCTTAATACCAGGCTTGGAAAATCACTTAGCAACCAGCTTCCTCTTTTCCTCATGGGGCATAATTAGGCCACGTCCTGTTTGTTTTTAAAATTCAGAATCTTGTTTAAGTGTTAAATACAATCAGTCATTAGATATACAGAGATGAAAATGAACAGAATAAACAATGTTTGGCCAAGATATAGAAAGAATTTGTTGTTTCTTACCGGACTTTTCCTCTAAAAGCGTAAGCATAGAAAGAAAAAATAAACAGAAAATGAGAGGTGAAATGTATATTCAAGAAGATGCAACTCAAGGCTCAGAATAACCTTACTTTAAAGCAGCTCTCCAAGGCATGGCTTTTATAAAGGCTTCTTGTAGGCATCAGTATGGTCATTCCCAGGCTGCTGGCTTTAGACCACCCCCAAAACATGCCACTTGGCCATACTGTTTTGAGCTATAGGCACTTGAAAACAGCAAATTCAGGGAGAAACTTTCTCTGAACAACCCTAATCTGCCTAAAAATAAATCTTCCAGAAAGAGACTAATTGTCATGAGTATAATCAACAAGGGAGAAGAGATGAGACGTTGACACCATATCCAGACAAACTTTGCCACAAACTATCACATTTCCCATCTATGCTTCCAAAGGCCCATTCATGCTCCCTAAAAATCATTGACTCTCCCCTTAGATGCCTCCTTCCTTCTCCCTATTAAGGTGGTATTTAGCCCTGAATTCTGAAACCACCTCTGAGTTACTCATTTTCCTGAGGGTCTGCCAGGTATACATGAATAGACATGTTAATAAACTTATGTTTGTTTTTCTTTTGTTGATCTGTCTTTTTGCTAAAGAGTCACAAATGAAGACCTAAGATGGGTTGATTTGTTTTGCCTCCTCTCCCAGATCAAGTGATAGAGGACATGGGTGTGGTTTCCATTTGAGCACATTCTAAGCTCCCTTTTTGAATGGCTTCAGTTCAGTTCAGAAGCTCAGTCATGTCGGACTCTTTGCGACCCCAGAGACTGCAGCACACCAGGCTTCCTGTACATCACTAACTCCTGTAGCTTACTCAAACTCATGTTCACTGAGTCTGTGATGACATCCAACCATCTCATCCTCTGTCATCCCCTTCTCCTCCCGCCCTCCATCATTCCCAGCATCAGGGTCTTTTCAAATGAGTCAACTCTTCGCATCAGGTAGTCAAAGTATTGGAGTTTCAGCCTCAGCATCAGTCCTTCCAATGAATATTCAGGACTGATTTCCTTTAGGATGGACTGGTTGGATTCCCTTGCAGTCCAAGGAACTTTCAAGAATCTTCTCCAACACCTCAGTTCAAAAGCGAAGTTCAATTCTTCAGCGCTCAGCTTTCTTTATAGTCCAACTCTCACATCCATACGTGATTATTGGAAACACCATAACTTTAACCAGATGGACCTTTGTCAGCAAAGTAATGTCTCTGCTTTTTAATATGCTGTCTAGGTTGGTCATAATTTTCCTTCCAAGGAGCAAGCGTCTTTTAATTTCATGGCTGCAGTCACCATCTGCAGTGATTTTGGAGCCCCCCAAAATAAAGCCTTCCACTGTTTCCCCATTTATTTGCCATGAAGTGATGGGACCAGATCCTATGATCCTAGTTTTCTGAATGCTGAGCTTTAAGCCAACTGTTTCACTCTCTTCTTTCATTTTCATCAAGAGGCTCTTTAGTTCTTCTTCACTTTCTGCCATAGGCTGGTGTCATCTACATATCTGAGGTTATTGATATTTCTCCTGGGAATCTTGATTCCAGCTTGTGCTTAATCCAGCCCAGTGTTTCTCATGATGTACTCTGCATATAAGTTAAATAAGCAGGGTGACAGTATACAGCCTTGACATACTCCTTTCCCTCTTTGAAACCAGTCTGTCGTTCCATGTCCAGTTCTAACTGTTGCTTCCTGACCTGCATACAGCTTTCTCAGAGGCTTACTTTTAGCAAATAGACTTTGAAAATAGAAAATTATCCTTGGTAATATTGAAAGGAGCTGGAAAATTCCATGAATGCATTACAGCCTATCATGAATCTAAAACATGAGATTTTACTCAAATTCCAGTCTTGTCAGGGAATCTGGTACCTATTAACTGCTCTCAAGATACTCTGTCTAAAACCATCAGTTCTTTCATCCCATCCTTCATTTGTTACCACTCCCCACGGGAAATGGCAAATTATTTCCCTGGTGAGTGGTCCCTGGCCCCCGGGAATGCTCTTTTCTTTCCTCCACAATTTATTTATTTGTTTTTTTTGGCCACACCATGCAGCATGTGGGACCTTAGTTCCCTGACCAGGGATTGAACCCACGTCCCCTGCACTGGAAGTCTTAACCACTGGACAGCCAGTGGTTAAGCCAGCCCTTACACAACTTCTTAATAAAGGCTTCATGTCTTCTTCCATGTTTCATTTCCTAAATCCATCCTTTGCATCATCCCTAGAATTATTTTCTAAAAATAGTGAAGTGAGTGTGTAACTCTGCCCTGCAAAAACCTCCCTACTATGTAGAAAATAGAGTGCAAACTCCATTCTGTCATTTAATGCCTCATGATGGGCTCCAGCTCTCCTTCACTCCTTCATCTTCCACTGCTGTCTCTATAAAATCTACACTTAGCTGTAGTCACTCCTTGACATCTCCTGAACATGTAGAACATTCATACTTCCCTGACTTCTGCTCAGGCTGCTTCTTCAGCTTTGATGCTGTCTTCCTCTCCTTCAAATTGTTGTTGTTCAGTCACTAAGTCATTTCCGACTCTTTGTGACCTCATGGACAGTAGCCTGCCAGGCTCCTCTGTCCATGGGTTTTCCCAGGCAGGTTTACTGGAGTGGGTTTCCATTTCCTACTCCAGGGGAATCTTCCTGACCCAGGGATTGGATCCGCATCTGTTGCATTGGCAGGTGGATTCTTTACCTCTGAGCTACCAGGGAAGTCCTTCTTTCACATACTATCTTACTTATAATTTAAGGCCAATAGCACTTCCTCCATGAGGGCCTTCCCTAAGCTTCCCAATCACAGTAAATAGTTCCCTGGCATTTATGAGTCACAGAGAAAACAGAGGTACACATGGCTAGTATATTTTTTGCAATTCTTATTTTATTCTGTATTACTTAGATATCTCCATTCAATTATTCAGTTCAGTTCAGTTCAGTTGCTTAGTTGTGTCTGACTCCTTACCACCCCATGGACTGCAGCACGCCAGGCCTCCCTCCCTGTCCATCACCAACTCCCAGAGTTTACTCAAACTCATGTCCATTGAGTCGGTGATGCCATCCAATCCCATCTCATCTTCTGTCACCCCCTTCTCCCCCTGCCTTCAATCTTTCCCAGAATCAGGGTCTTTTCAAATGAGTCAGTACTTTGGCCAAAGTATTGGAATTTCAGGTTCAACATCAGTCCTTCCAATGAATATTCAGGACTGATTTCCTTTGGGATGGACTGGTTAGATCTCCTTGCTGTCCAAGGGACTCTCAAGAGTCTTCTTCAACATTCAATTATTAGCTCCAAGTAATGATTATGAATGGGCTCTCTCTAGCCCCAAACAAAGTACAAGGCATACAGTAGGTGCTCAAATCACCTTTATCAATTTTCTTTTTGTGGTCATTAAAACATAATACAAATATTTTAAGCACAGTGTCTTTTAAAGTCCAGAAAGATGAATTGTTCTCTGAAATAAGGCTGAATCATATATAATATATAGCCCAGGGGATATGGCCCCAGAAGTAATGGTTCCTTCACCAGCTCTTATAAACATAAAATTCACTTTACTTTTATTTAACAGTTGATCTCTTTGCCCATTAGTGACCTCAAGGGCTAATATATATTATCAAGACTCCAAGGAAGTGGCACAGCTTTGCACACACATTGATGCACAGCTATGTAATTGGTTCTCCAGAGTGGAATGTTCTCCCAAAACAAAAAACATCCCTTGTGTTTCAGCATAACTGAGGATCAGGGTAGGGCCCACGTCCCAGGTACTGCTTTCAGACCCAGACCATTGCTAAGTAGTACAAAGAAATGAGAATTATTAAGGTCCAAGACTTCGATTTACAAACAAAAAGAATTTTTGGGTTAAAATTAAATAGCTTCAAAGGAGTTGTCATGGAGGGATGTGCAAACGTTTTTACATAGTCTGTTGAATTTAATCCCTTATTTTCTGGATGCTTTTGAATTAGTCATGCTGTTTCTCAATACCATTTTGTAAAGTAGGGATGATGCTATCTTATAGAACTGTCATGAGGATTAAAAGATGTGAATGATAGTGACAGGTAATATTCACTGAGACTTTACTATTATTGTTTAACTTTATGAGGTTGGTGTCATTGTTACCTCTTATTTACCAGTGAGGAAAAGGAGGCTCGGATGAGCTCCAAGATCACGTGGCTACAAAAGATGAGAGCAGGACTGGATCCCCGCTTCTCTAATTCCAGAGAACCTTGGCAGCGGTGGGTCATTTGTTGTTTAGTCCATCAGTCATGTCAGACTCTTTTGTGACCCTATAGACTGTAGACCATTGTCCATGGGATTTCCCAGGCAGGAATACTGGAGGGGTTGCCGTTTCCTTCTCCTGGGGATGTTCCCAGCCCAGAGATTGAACTCACATCTCCTGAAGTGGCAGGTGGATTTTTTTACCACTGAGCCACCGGGGAAGCCCAGTTCCCATGGTCCTTATCAGCACTGAGATTTAGAAACAACAGAGCTGAAAGCTTACACATCACAGAGTCTGGAAAATAATCTTGGATTTTTCCAGTGGAAGGAGTTAAATAGATCATGCTGTTCTATCATAGCAGGTCACAGGGAATGAAGTTTTCAGAAACTGAGCTTGATTTTCTAGACATGGTTTTGAATCTGAGCAATAAACTCTGATTATAAGGTAAATGTCTCAGCTTTTTTTCTAAAATTAAGTGCATTTTATGAAATTAGAATCAGAAGAATAAATATAAACATATGAATGCTAAGAGCCCTCCTCTCCTTCCCATTCTAGGCTGTATGTTGACTAAAGCATCTTTATTCTATATGTTGTTTAAATTGTTAGCAATTTAACACCTAGGCTATGCTGCTTGGGTTAAGGGTTTCTTCAGAGTGATAAACAAACAAAGATAAAACATGACAAGACAATTCTCCTTTAGGGAAAGCAAAGATATTTCTTGATTTAAAATGAACTATCATCAGAGTGGTTTCTAGTTATGGAAAAGATAATAAAAGAAACAAAAAAGAG